CAACACTTTTGCAACACTTTTATTTACAAATAAATTTGTTCATTTTAGCACCGTTTTTATTTTGTTAAGGTCATTTTTCATATTTTATATATTTTAAGATTATCTATGATGTCTGTTTGTCTGTATGTATGTTTGTTCCCTAACTACTCTCTTTATATTCTATTTTATACGCCAATATTTAAATACGCCATAGATTGGCTATTTTAATATTGCTTATATTAAATATGCCTATGCGTATTTTGTATTTTATTAAATATTAATTTTTACAAACATATATTTATATTCTTTATTCGATATTTAGTTAATATTCATTTCGATATTTAGTGAATATTCAAAATAGACGCTCAAAATAAAATAGAATAAAATTTCAATATATATCGAAAATTGTAATTTTAAACTTATTGATCTATGTCACATTGTTATATTATTTTTTATATTATATTATATTATATATATATTTTGAATTTTTACACTATACATTTTTACATTATACTATAAAATGTTGATATTATGCCGTGAGAGTACAACTGAGAGTACACACTAAATAAAATAGTAAGAAAAATATAATTATATAATATAATTATAAATGCAATATATTAAAATATTAGAATGTTATCAAAAAGGTGCTTTTTAAATTAAATTAAAAGGACCTTAACAAAACTAAAACAGTACTCTAAAATAATGTTATTTCCAATTAAGGTTTTTCAATAACGAAAACATATTGATGTTAGAGTTTCAAAGAAAATGAAAATGTTGTTAAGGTAAAAAAAAAATTAAATTGTTCTGTCTTATATTATGGTTTTTTATTGTTGTCTCTTATAAATGTCTTAAAGTTGCAAAACCTATATATATAAAGAAAAAAAAATGACCGTTTCTCTTTATTATATTAATTAATATAATATATAGCTCAATTGTTTTTGACTTATAACTTTATATTCGATATATTCGTTTTTGTTTGTGTGATTTTCTTCATAAATGTTATTATGTCTGTGAAGAAGGCAGGATTGTATGTGCTTTAATTTCTTTTATTAGAGCGACGTAAGGCGCGCTAAATTTGCTAGTCTTAGTAAAAGGACAAGGTCGTTAAGTGACAAATAATTTGCATTGGGGCGCTTACTTAAAATGGTGACTATGACAATGATTTTTGCAATATTTTAAGAATTTGATTAAGAAATTAGTGTTTTGGTTTAAAAATAAGATACACTGCGTGACATTGAAAATGGAACACCAAGAAATAGTGGTCAGAAAATTATGCAAATTTCAGGGTAGACGCGCCTAACCGAGTTATGCAAATGATGTAAAATGCGCAGCTCTCGTGCGCACATGGAGTAAGATATAAGGGAAGGAACTTGCAGAAAGGACAGTATTCGTGTCGTTATTTCTTCAAGGAAAATCATTGTAGAAATTTTGTTCTTGTGCCAAAAGACACGTGTAATAACAGAAAATGCCAGGTCATCGTAAACGGAGGCAGTTCAAGCAGACAGACGCTTTTACGAGGGTCATGGTGATCGGACTGAAAAGGGCAGGTTGGTCCATACGTCAAATCGCAGCTGATACACACCTTGGTGCGTCCACGGTGCACCGACTGTGGAGAAGATGGTTGGAACAAGGAAATGTGGCAATTTATAGGAATGTCGGTGCAACCAGAGTGACGTCAGCACGTGTGGATCGGCGTATCCTTCGACAAGCAGTGGCAGCCCCACAAGCCACTTGTACCGCCATCCTGCAACATGTGCAAGACACCCTAGATCATTCCATCTCGACCAGAACCATTTCCCGTCGATTGGTTGCTAATGGCTTGCACTCATGCCGTCCGCTAAGAAGACTGCCATTGACCCCACCGAATAGGCGCCAACGTTTGGAATGGTGCCGGGCTAGATCGACGTGGATGACGGAATGGCACAGGGTCGTGTTCTCAGATGAGTCGCGTTTCTGCTTGTCCAGTGATAGTCGTCGTGTACGCGTGTGGCGTCGACGTGGAGAAAGGTCCAATCCGGCAGCAATTGTGGAACGCCCCACCGTGCGACAACGTGGAATCATGGTTTGGGGCGCAATCGCGTATGATTCCAGGTCACCTTTACTTCGTATTCAGGGCACTATGACGGCCCAACGATACGTTGATGATGTGCTGCGACCGGTGACACTCCCCTACCTTCAGGGGGTACCCAATGCCCTTTATCAGCAGGATAACGCCCGACCGCACACTGCTCGCATTAGCCAACAAGCTCTGCAAGATGTACAGATGCTTCCCTGGCCACCGTACTCTCCTGATCTCTCACCAATCGAGCACGTCTGGGACATCATTGGACGCCGTTTGCATGCCTTGCCACAGCCGCGTTCAGAAGACGAACTGTGGCAAATGGTTGAGAGGGAATGGAGAGCCATCCCTCAGGACGCCATCCGTACTCTGATTGACTCTCTACCTAGACGTGTTGCTGCGTGCATCGCCGTCCGCGGTGGTCCTACTTGCTACTAAGCCGACGCCGTTCTCGCTCTGTATTATGACTATCATTTTGAAATAAAGATCACTTATTGTTCGTCCCTGTCTCTCTCTGTCTGCCGAGTTTCATCACTTTCTGGCCACTATTTCTTGGTGTTCCATTTTCAATGTCACGCAGTGTATTAAGAAAAACAAAAATTAGTTTAGAATTATGATTAGAGTAATTAAAAATAATATTAATGATTTTTCTTTCTTATGTAAAATTAAAAGTAAAGAAATAAAATTTATAATTTTCTTAAAATAAAGTAGAATTTGATAAATGAGGTTGTAAAAGATTTGAAATTTGAATTGATATGATATATAAAAATGGTAAAAATTGATTTAAAATGATTACAGTGAAAATAAACACTAAATTTATGGAATATCAAGTTGTGAGCTTGAGGAGAAAGTTATATAGCTTTGTTTTTTAAAACTTACAGTTTTGATGATTGTTCAGTCAGGAGACTTGGTCTTTGGTTATCGTCCTGTTGACGTCCTGGCGCTCCATGTAGGGCTTGTAGAAGCATGTAACTTCGGTTTGGCGACAGCGGCATTTCGCCTGGAAGGTGGTTGCGTTGTAAGGCCGAAGGTGGGGAACGTCTCACCGGCTTATTTTGAAGGATCTTCGGCTGTGTCGTTGGGGGGTTGACAGCTTGCTCCTGATATATAGTCTCTAGTTGGAGGAGAGAATGCTTGGTCGTTTCGTTTGATTGGTCAGTTTGTTCCTCCATCTTTGTTCTTTGTTGCTTCTATCTGGATAGGCTTCTTATCTCTTCGTTGTGGTTATACTTCGTTTTAGTCATTCTGTAGACTCTGGCTATACTGTGATAACCGAGGGTCTCTCGCTGTGGTGTGGTAACCGAGAGGGACAGTCAGGGCGTGGAGAGTTTTCCAGTACCTCTCTGCACCTTAGAAGACCTTCAACAGTTCTCAAAAAGTACAGGCAGTCGTGATCTAGGCAGAGTGGGAAGCTTGGGAATGTCCACACATAAAACGAAGAGGCACAGTTGTAGTAGGAATGTTCCGTGAACAGATAAAAGTCGAGCTAAGAGCAAGAAGAAGATAGAGGAGTTCTTACTGTTCTACATGGTCGATGAGGTGGACCTGGGTACAATCGACAAGTGCTCACGCTGATGATGAAGTGACTATATTTTCGGCTAGGGCAGAGGTCTTATATAGCTTTGTTGAGAGAGGAAGTATGCGGGAGTATTGATTTTCAGCGGGTGCAACAAGAGCGTGGTGCGGCAGCGATATTCTACACCCAATGACCTGATAGCAACGACCTGAAAAATTCCTCTTTAGGGTTGTTGGACTTTTATCTCAACCTCTCGCTTTAGCTCAGCTCTTAATCTACTACAGAGTTTTGTTTATTGATCCTCAGTTTGTACAAAATACATTACATATTGTTACAAAGTATTTATTAATTTTATTATTTTTATTAACATTCCACCGCCGTGCTAAAACCAAGACTTCCCTCGAAGATGACGATGTCCCAATAGACGATACGACGGCAAAGCCGTTCTTCACGCCGCAGGAAAAAGGACGCAAAGGTACTAGGGACAAAGTTCCAAGACACTCGATAGAATCCTTGGCAGAAGCACGTCAGATCCATGTCAGTATCTTCAATAATTTCTAGCTATGGGTCACAGCTCCCATAGAGAAGATGCTATGTAACAAAGTATTTATTAATTTTATTATTTTTATTAACACAGTGGTCATTTTTATTTTCATATTTTTCTACTCTGTAAATTTGCCTCGTGGCTTATCTTTTGTTTACCATTCATAGTTTGTTCTTGCCTGAAATAAATTGTTGTCTCATCCCGAAGTTGGTCTTCCCTAATTTTCCACGTGGCAATATGGTGATGCAATGACACATGTCAATCATGCGTATAATTATTTATAGATGTGTTTCTATTATACAACATGAAAATCTTGTTACAAGTATTATACAATATGGGGTTGTAGGTTTGAATTACCATATCAACATATATAGTCACGACCGTCTTTCCACCGTCATGTCACGGATGCGCGCGCATCATCATTATGATCATCATCATTATCTAATGATAATAATAATAATAATTATTATATTATTATTATTATTATTATTATTATCAACATATATAGTCACGACCGTCTTTCCACCGTCAATTCCTCATCGCTGTCACTGATGCGCGCGCATCATCATTATGATCATTATCTAATGATAATAATAATAATTATTATTAGTATATTATTATTATTAATATATATAGTCACGACCGTCTTTCCTCAATTCCTCAATTCCTCATCGGCCGCTGTCACGGATGCGCGCGCACAGGGAGGTCACGTGCTCGCCGGCTGCCAACGGGCGCGCGCCGCCGGCATTACGTCATAGATTATAAACACAAGGTAATAAGGCCAAATAAAAAAATAGTGTATGATAAGGCACAATTTGGATTATCTACTTATATAATTGCCTTATTCTGTCTGTGTGAAGTTCACGGATAGATTTTGGTCAGAATGGATAAAATAAAAAAAGTGTCAAGGGATGGGAATCGAACCCACGACCTTCCGCTTACCGGCCAGATGCCATGACCACTAGGCTACCCTGGACATATTTTTCCGTTCACATTTTTATTTTTATATTTTCAAGACACACACAGTTTGGGGCGGGACGTTTCACAAGAGAGACATCCACGGCGCCAATTTATAATTGTAACGAATAGTATTTTAATTAAAACATTTTTAAAATATATACGCACTCGGGTAAAACCCGGGCGTTGCCCGGGCCATTCGTCTAGTCAACATATATAGTCACGACCGTCTTTACACCGTCAATTCCTCAATTCCTCATGTCACGGATGCGCGCGCATCATCATTAGTATAATATAAAAAGCCAACAATGAAGAATGAATGTAAGATAAAAAGCCAACAATGAAGAGTAAATATGATATAAAAAGCCATCAATGAAGAATGAATGTAAGATAAAAAGCCAACAATAAAGAGTAAATGTAATATAAAAAGCCAACAATGAAGAATAAATGTAAGATAAAAAGCCAACAATGAAGAGTAAATATAATATAAAAAGCCAACAATGAAGAATAAATGTAAGATAAAAAGCCAACAATGAAGAGTAAATATAATATAAAAAGCCAACAATGAAGAATGAATGTAAGATAAAAAGCCAACAATGAAGAGTAAATATGATATAAAAAGCCAACAATGAAGAATAAATGTAAGATAAAAAGCCAACAATGAAGAGTAAATATAATATAAAAAGCCAACAATGAAGAATGAATGTAAGATAAAAAGCCAACAATGAAGAGTAAATATGATATAAAAAGCCAACAATGAAGAATGAATGTAAGATAAAAAGCCAACAATGAAGAGTAAATATGATATAAAAAGCCAACAATGAAGAATAAATGTAAGATAAAAAGCCAACAATAAAGAGTAAATGTAATATAAAAAGCCAACAATGAAGAATAAATGTAAGATAAAAAGCCAACAATGAAGAGTAAATATAATATAAAAAGCCAACAATGAAGAATGAATGTAAGATAAAAAGCCAACAATGAAGAGTAAATATGATATAAAAAGCCAACAATGAAGAATGAATGTAAGATAAAAAGCCAACAATGAAGAGTAAATATGATATAAAAAGCCAACAATGAAGAATGAATGTAAGATAAAAAGCCAACAATGAAGAGTAAATGTAATATAAAAAGCCAACAATGAAGAATAAATGTAAGATAAAAAGCCAACAATGAAGAGTAAATGTAATATAAAAAGCCAACAATGAAGAATAAATGTAAGATAAAAAGCCAACAATGAAGAGTAAATATAATATAAAAAGCCAACAATGAAGAGTGAATGTAAGATAAAAAGCCAACAATGAAGAGTAAATGTAATATAAAATGCCAACAATGAAGAATGAATGTAAGATAAAAAGCCAACAATGAAGAGTAAATGTAATATAAAATGCCAACAATGAAGAATGAATGTAAGATAAAAAGCCAACAATGAAGAGTGAATGTAATATAAAAAGCCAACAATGAAGAATGAATGTAAGATATAAAGCCAACAATAAGAGTGAATGTAAGATAAAAAGCCAACAATGAAGAATGAATGTAAGATAAAAAGCCAACAATGAAGAGTAAATATAATATAAAAAGCCAACAATGAAGAGTGAATGTAAGATAAAAAGCCAACAATGAAGAGTAAATGTAATATAAAAAGCCAACAGAGTGAATCTATATATATAAAATTGAATGTCTGTCTGTCTGTTTGTCTGTCTGTTTGTTTGTACTCTATAGATTCAAAAACCATACATCCAATCGCCGTGAAATTTTGGGATATTATTAGGTATATCACCGGGAAGGTTTTAGAAAAATAATTTCATGAATATCTTGAATATCCTTAGAGTTATTTGCAGATTTGTAGATTTAACTCGCAAGCAGCGCCCCCATTGTGACGATGATAACAAGTTTTCTTTTCACTAAGTTTGTTATCTTAAATATTATTTATCAAAAGTAAGATTATCTCAGGATGACACAGCAATGTGACACGGGAAAAAATGTTCACTAGATAAAACTATGATTTTCTATATGATATAAAAAGCCAACAATGAAGAGTGAATGTAATATAAAAAGCCAACAATGAAGAATGAATGTAAGATAAAAAGCCAACAATGAAGAGTGAATGTAAGATAAAAAGCCAACAATAAAGAGTGAATGTAAGATAAAAAGCCAACAATGAATAGTAAATGTAATATAAAAAGCCAACAATGAAGAATGAATGTAAGATAAAAAGCCAACAATGAAGAGTAAATATAATATAAAAAGCCAACAATGAAGAATGAATGTAAGATAAAAAGCCAACAATGAAGAGTAAATATAATATAAAAAGCCAACAATGAAGAGTGAATGTAAGATAAAAAGCCAACAATGAAGAATGAATGTGAGATAAAAAGCCAACAATGAAGAGTAAATATAATATAAAAAGCCAACAATGAAGAATGAATGTAAGATAAAAAGCCAACAATGAAGAGTAAATATAATATAAAAAGCCAACAATGAAGAGTGAATGTAAGATAAAAAGCCAACAATGAAGAGTGAATGTAATATAAAAAGCCAACAATGAAGAATGAATGTAAGATAAAAAGCCAACAATGAAGAGTAAATCTCTATCTATCTATATATATAAAATTAAAATAATATTATCATGCATATAGAAAAAAATGATTATATGCCTCTTCTTTATGCCGGACCAAACTACTCATTTCATCGACATTTTTGAAAGTAAATCAGTGTAAACGGTATTAAATATGTATAATGGAACAATGGCTTAAAATATAATAGAAAGTGAGCTGAATGAAGACAAAAAAAAATGTTAAGAATTCCCTATGAATTGAAATGAAGTGATTTTGGATATAAAATATAAAAAAAAAACTCGATTGATACACATTTAAAATGGTTAAAATGGCATTTATTAAGCCAAACAGTGTGAAAAAGTAGATACAGTAGAGCTTCCATTGAGAGGATGCCTAAAATCGTAGCTTAAACCGTCTCTCCGAGAGGCAGTCTCTTATTAAAAGTCTATTAGAGATTCTTTAATATCAATTAGAACCTCCAATGAGAGACCACCTACAGGAGAAACAAGTTGAGTCATGTTTTTAGGTGGTCTTTCTTAAGAGACTCTATTTACATATATTAAAATCAACATTTTCTTACTGTTACGTTTAATTACTGCTAATCTATATATATAAAATTGAATGTCTGTCTGTCTGTACTCTATAGATTCAAAAACCATACATCCAATCGCCGTGAAATTTTGGAATATTATTAGGTATATCACCGGGAAGGTTTTTGAAAAATAATTTCATGAATATCTTGAATATCCTTAGAGTTATTTGCAGATTTGTAGATTTAACTCGCAAGCAGCGCCCCAATTGCGACGATGAAAACAAGTTTTTTTTATCTATAAGTTTTATTATCACTAAGTTTGTTATCTTAAAGATAATTTATCAAAAGTAAGATTTTCTACCTAATAATTCTTACAAGTCAAAGGCAAGATACTATTCCTTTAACTTCCAATTACCGAGGGAACCAATTAATAATGATTTTATTCAACTTATCGAGTATTTTTCAAGGGACCGGGAAAAAATGTTCACTTTATCGAGAGATTCGTTATACAAACCTTTACTCGGGTAAAACCCGGGCGAAGCCAGGTACGTCCATACAAGAATAATGATACAATTCCAAGGCAAGATACTATTCCTTTAACTTCCAATTAACGAGGGAACCAATTAATATTGATTTTATTCAACTTATCGAGAATTTTTCAAGGGACCGGGAAAAAATGTTCACTTTATCGAGAGATTCGTTAGACAAACCTTTACTCGGGTAAAACCCGGGCGAAGCCGGGCGGGTCCGCTAGTGTAAGATAAAAACCCAACAATGAAGAGTGAATGTAATATAAAAAGCCAACCTTGAAGAATGAATGTAAGATAAAAAGCCAACAATGAAGAGAAAATATGATATAAAAAGCCAACAATGAAGAGTGAATGTAAGATAAAAAGCCAACAATGAAGAGTAAATGTAATATAAAAAGCCAACAGAGTGAATGTAAGATAAAAAGCCAACAATGAAGAGTAAATATAATATGAAAAGCCAACAATGAAGAATGAATGTAAGATAAAAAGCCAACAATGAAGAGTGAATGTAATATAAAAAGCCAACAATGAAGAATGAATGTAAGATAAAAAGTCAACAATGAAGAGTGAATGTAAGATAAAAAGCCAACAATGAATAGTAAATGTAATATAAAAAGCCAACAATGAAGAATGTATGTAAGATAAAAAGCCAACAATGAAGAGTAAATATAATATAAAAAGCCAACAATGAAGAGTGAATGTAAGATAAAAAGCCAACAATGAAGAGTAAATGTAATATAAAAAGCCAACAGAGTGAATGTAAGATAAAAACCCAACAATGAAGAGTGAATGTAATATAAAAAGCCAACCTTGAAGAATGAATGTAAGATAAAAAGCCAACAATGAAGAGTAAATATGATATAAAAAGCCAACAATGAAGAGTGAATGTAAGATAAAAAGCCAACAATGAAGAGTAAATGTAATATAAAAAGCCAACAGAGTGAATGTAAGATAAAAAGCCAACAATGAAGAGTAAATATAATATAAAAAGCCAACAATGAAGAGTAAATCTCTATATATATAAAAATGAATGTTTGTCTGTTTGTATGTTTGTTTGTATGTCCGGTATACAAATTCGCAGTAGTTCACTAATTCAAACCAAAATTTCCATACATAGGTAAAATATACGGGGAAGACGATAGGCTCTTTAAAAATATATATAAATCAATTATTAAAACTATATATTTTCAGTCAGAAAATGATGATGACGATTATGCTGTATCATGTTTGATTATCAGATACAAAATAATATCGGGAAAAATTCCAAAAAGCAGAGGCAACGGGTGAAACCAGTTCATTATTTTGTACGCAGGAACAAAATTCTAACAGAAAAACATTCATTCGAGCAGAAAACAAAAGCCATATCATCTTTCTATAAAAATATCGCTTCTCAGACACAA